ACATATGAAATGAGACACATGCTTCAATGTATGTCAATGACACAACTCCAAGTTGAATTCAAACTCAAGTGTAAGTTTCTGGTTTTAAATTATGCTGAAATGATTACGACTTACTTGAATACTAAATTCTGAATGGTCAATTTGAAAAAATTCAGCAGAAGACAGACAGGAAGTAAACACAAATGGGAACAGCAGAATATCAAAAAGATTGAATAATAGTTCAATGTTTTCATACAAATGAAGCTCAGCGCAAGTTCAACCAGGAAGACCTTCTTTACTCTTTCATTCACTATTTCCATGTTACTACTCTCTCTCCTCTCAATAAGTGATCGGGGGCGTCACTCTCCAGCTTAACCAATCACTTCGCTCTATTCTCACAAGCCTATCATAGCGCTCCTCTAAACCTTTTAAATCTGCTCTCCCCTCTGACAGCTCTCATTGCAGGTGAATCGGCGCAACCCTCCTCCACCCCTCTTCACCTCCCGTCCATCTGAATCTAGGGTCAAGCTAAGCCCCTCCCCTTCAAACCTAACCCAACTATCCATTCACCACCACCAGTCTCTAGACCCCGGGGGATTTCATCGGATCAGTTCTCCCTTCCCGAATGATATTCCTGCACAACGGGGCCTAATCGCCAAAACTCCTTTACATTCATGTGTATTTCTGGCAATAAATATGTATTCTTACATCAAAACTGTCTCTCCTGATTGAAATAAAGGTTTGAAATGAAATGAAACACTTCCTAGTCCAAGGCCAGCATATCAGAGGCGGTCGAAGTAGAAGTGTACTACTTGTTCTCGCCCACAAACTCTTAGCCTGAAGCGGTCAATTCAAACCAGAGCTGGGTCTAAAGTCCAAGTGATGGAGGTCTCGCCCCCTCAGGCTCTTCACAACGGGACGTGGCTTATTGTACTGCCTTACAAGGCTGTTCATTTCAAAAGCAGAGGCTCGGGAGAAGTGCTTTTTAATAAAACCTGGGCTAGTGGACATGAAAAGAAAGCGCAATGAAAAGCTTCTCCACATTAATTGACACTCGTGGGTCCATTAAATACTCGCAATAGCCCGGTGTAATTTCTCTCGATCAGAGCACTCAATGCAGTGAGGTTCAAAAGCGATTATGGGAGTTAATTACGTTCAAAAGAGTGCCGCAATTTCATCACGAGAGACCGCGGCGAGGATTAATGGCAGGCGTCACAGAAAAATCCAATAGAAGAGTGATTAGCATTCCTTGGAGATAGTCGAAGATTCGGTGCCTTGCTTGATAATCAGAGCGCATTACTCTGACTCCGCATGACACACAACATGTAATTTCATCCCAAAGGGGGAGTAGATTCATCAAACTACAAGGAGGGGGGATCATTTTTAGGAAAAAAAAGAAAAAAGGTCCTGTTGTCCTTGAACCACATGTGTCAGTACTGTAAAACAAAGGGATGTCTACGTACCAAATGTCACACAGACTGTTAGTGTGGATTAATAACGCCTGTTTGATGTGACCTTAAACATGGCGAGCTGACAATCATCGCCAAATAATGACTTTAATCTGGTGACCCTTGATATGGATGCCTTGTTAAAATGATTGATAGCATGTCGAGGTCAGATCTGATGTTTGGCAGAATCCAAGGAGGTTTCTTTTATCACATGGATGTTGCTGACAGGAAATATTAACATATGAATACACTGGTTTTATAATGTTATTCGAAAACTGAGTATTTTTTAGCCCAGTTTGGCATTAGTAAGAGTACCAGGAGTTTGAATGACATTATGCTCTGATTTAAAGCGGCATTTATGGATTTCTTGGCAATTTAGGGGCTGTAGAAACAGTGGGTGCAAATTGTACTTTTGCCACCAATTAAGGAGTAAAAATATCCAGCTCTTTAAAGGTCCCATGTCATGGTCATTTCTACTGATCATAATTCCATTGATGAGGTCTACTAGAATAGATTTACATTGTTCAATTTTCCAAACTCACATTGGTTTCTCATACAGCATCTCTGTATAGTATGTGTATTCAACGGCTTGTTGGAGCTCCTGCCCCCCACCCCTCCCTGTGAGCCCACTGTGCTCTGATTGGTCAGCTCGCCCACTCTGTTCTGATGAGTCCACCACCGTTACAGCTGAACATCAGTGTTTATGTGTTACAATGGCGTTTATTAGCAACCAAGTAATGATAAACAGAAGAGAATGCTGCGTGGGGTCTGGGTGCTGTGTTGGCGGGACGTTGCGCGGCTCGCTGCTGCGAGGAGCGGACAGTGTGAGCTGGGTTCATTTCCTGCTTGCTGCGTGGGGTCTGCGAGACAGCGAGACATCGCGAATGGACGCGGGAAGGGGGAGGGGTGCTGAAGGGGCTGCAGCACCCCCATCTTTATTTACCTTTTATTGGAAATGTATATAACTATCTGGCTTTTTTGTTTTTATTATTTGAACTACTTTAGTTTAAATACATTTTGTATTTTCTTTATTTATTTCCGTTCTTAAATAGAGCAACTGTCACGAAACCCAATTCACCCGATGATCAATCAATCATCCATCCATCCATCCATCTTCTCCCGCTTATCCGTGGTCGGGTCGCGGAGGTA